AATCGATAATGTATTAAAAAATAATTACTGAATATGAATATAAGCTGTAGTATAAGGATATTGCCCAAGAATGCATTTACATTCATGATTATTTATTAACAGGAAGGCAAGGATGATTAACACAGGGCAAACCTTCACTTGCTGACCCTGTCCAAATACTCGGGTCATGTGTGAGCCCTTGTGGATGGATTAGCATGGAAGGCAGATTGCCGCTTTGATCCTCGAAGTAAATCCAATGTAGATGATTTTTCTCCAGCAGACTCTCCTATACTCAGTTTTGACATACCAACAAGCTCATCAACATTTATGGCAGTCTTTGAATGCACTGGTGTTGGCTTAATAATTACATGTGCCTGCTGCTCTGAGGTATCTGATCTGTTTCCTGACCAATTGGGGAAAGAAAATTGTAGAAATGGTGAAAAATAAGCTGGAAGTATCACAGGATAGCTGCACTGAGAAGCTTCTGGTTGTGATACAACTGCTTCAATTATTGAGTCATTAGAGTCCATTGATTCGTATTCCTCATTCAGAGTTGGAGGTATAGGAGGAGGATTGTTATTTTGTGCATCTGATTCTTGGAAACTCATCAGAAACGGTTGAGGTTCAAGGGGCTGAGGAAAAAAGAATGATGGGTCATGCATAATGTAAAAAATGAATAAAAAGGCAAATAATATGTGTGATTTAAATGGATCCTCCCACTTCCGTAGAAAAGTATACTTTTGAGGGATTTTATCTGAAAGCACACTAGAAAACTGCATCTGTTGATTGGAAAACAAAACCTAATAATTCAACCATGTTTCACAGTCTACCATTAAACAGCTTCTTGGAAGATTATCTGTTTCTATGGCCCATATGTTTTGAAGACTTGTTTTAGAAGAACTCAAATGACAGCTCTACTTATAAAAATTCACAATTTTCTTGTTTCACTTTTTAAAATCGTCAAACTACAACCAACCATTCGCATAGCTCAAATTTCAAGAATACAGAAAGGACTTTGCTATTTCTGTCTTAAATTGTTTTTAACTATATATATATTAGGTAATTTCCCTTCCTATCTCCAGAAATTCTTTCATTTTTGTCAAACTGTATGGAGGAAAGACAATAGCATATGGATCCATATCATCTATAGTATGACCAGGCCAGAGCAATAATCATAACATGGAATACATACAGACTGACAACTTTAAGGGGTCATCAGTACTTATTGAATGAAAAATATGTCAAAATCCAACTGAGCAAATATGATGTCGTAAATTGAATATTTGAACCACATTCATAGCACATATGTCCACAAGGAAGCTACCATGACTCAAATGCAAATATATACTAGTTAGAGTAACACAGAGAGAGAGAGAAAGAGAGAGAGAGAGAGAGAGAGAAGAGTAACCTCATCAGGTTCCATATCAAAAAGGCTTGATCTTCTCTTTCTTCTTGTCATGTTGGCTTTACGAATAAAATACTTTTGTGCATGGCTAGCCACTTGAGTAGGTGTTCTGGAAACCACATAGTTACGAGATATGCCTCGCCAGTCGCCTTTTCCGAGCTTTTGCAAGCCAAGTAAAAACCTTCTATGCTCTTCTTCAGTCCACGGATTACCTACCAATATCATCAATAGAAAGTCCATAAAGCCATTATAATTTAACCTTATATAGAAATGACACAGCTGGTTACGATGAACACTGAATGGGAAAATCAAAATGAATGCAACACTAAGAAAAACTTCAACGTCTTTAAAACTAGTAAAAGCAAGAAATCTTTTATACATGAACATGTTTGGAAATGTTGTTCTACACCATTTAAATAATGCCTCTTTATCTGTCTCAATTTTCTCTTTATTTTTCAATAATATTTTGTAATTTCATATCAATATAAATTAGTGGAAGTGACATCCACTGAGGACTTGCCAAGGACTACCTGTGGTAGCCACAGCTCACTGGCTATATTGTAAAGTGCCAATATTGCTACGGGTGGGGCAGTAAAGTGGCTTCCTATTGGAATGGATTGCATTGGTATGATCATGGTGGAATGAAACTTTTGCCTACTCGATGTAGTTAACTAGTCGAACATGAGCACCTTCTTTTTCTTTCCCTCCTTTTGTTTTGTATGAATACGTAGAAAATGTGGTGGTTTGCTCACCTCCTTGTCTTCATTGTTTCCTAGTATACAGATAACTTTTCCAGCTATGTTTTTTCTTTTTAGGATTACCAAACCAATCTATTGCCTTCTCCAGATTGGCATGTTTTTTTTTCAAACCCTAATTAGTTAGCAACTGCTTTGACATGCTCTTTAAAGAAATGAGCTCCATTTCTTTGTTTATTTCCAAAGACAGACATAATCATCCAATTTGTTTGCTGTCAAATTTTCAGCAAGTTGGCTCTTTGTATTTGACTCAAAAAAGCTGTATGGATCCCCTGAACGGGCAGGTACACCCTTATGTTTAAGCGCAAAAAAGGAAAATGAAGACGATAATCCATTTAGTTAAAGTATTTATTAGCATTAGTATTTGTAGGAAAATAGCAACTACAAAGTTTTACAAGTAAGATAATTAGTTCTCACAAAAAAATATAACAGCATAATTACATGAGACAAAATTGTTTATCCTCTGACAGATTTCTTTCTAGAATCCAGATAAAGCATTTGCTCTGGTATAATTAAAGGCACCAAATGCAAATCCAGAAGATGATCATCCCACCTAACACCTGCCACAAAGGAAAAATGCACACAGTCCACCAGAAGTTCTCTTTGTCATTTTTCGGCTAGTAAAAACTTCTCGATGCTGCTCTAGGGAACGAATGGATTATTCTGCTACCATCACTTCCTAAAAAGAATAAATTTTCCCCAAGGACACTATAAACTAGTAGCAGAGATCACATTCATGACAACTCCTAGATGAAGAGACAACGTGCATTGGACCAAGAAATTCAAGAGAGAATAGTCAGAATGCCCACAAGATTACAGAACATATGGATCCTATAAAACATAGGCACATGTTAATTTCAGAAAGCAGAGATGGACCATGTGACACATTCCATTCCATTCGATAAAAACAGTCGTTTATGGTTGTAGCGTCCAAGAGATGATAGAGTAAGAAACAAAGCTATCGTAGTATGACAGCACATCTCGTTCGGCCTAAGAAGACACATCTTTTACAGTTTTACCATACCAAAGAACAACGAGAGCAGGCGGTACGAGATATCAAGAAAGACTCACCCTTCTTCCGCTCGCGGCAGCTCGCGGAAGACCCCTTGACGAAATCCTCCGACGCGTATCCGTCCGCGGAGGCGCCACCGCCGCCAGGCTCCGGACCGTCGGCGGGCGACGCGCCGCCGCTGGATCCAGCGAGAAGGGAGAGGTTCCCCATGCTGGCGCTCTTCCGGATGGATCCATCGGTGAGCCGCACGCCGAAGAGCTTCACCCCGCGGTTGGGGCACGTCCGGGAGTTGTGGCCATCGTGGCTGCAGTGGAAGCATCGCCGCGTCATCTTCCCGCCGCCTCCCACAACTCCTCCTGCGCCTCCGGACCTCGATCACCAAATAGCAAACACTTTGGATTAGCGTTTTGAGGCCAAAGAAGAGGAACAGATTCGTATTGGGAGATCGCGCAGAGCGGGGGGAGATGAAGAAGCGGAGAGGGGACAAATAAAAGTTCGGAAATGGGATAAAGGGCATAATTGCTTTGCTCCCCTCGCTCCAACTTACCAACTCAGTTACCTGCGTTTTGGTCGGGTCACAGTGGGCTCCGCTGTGTGACACCAATCACAAGGCGGAAAGAAGATGGGATGCAGAGGTGTGCCTGAAAGAAGTCGAAGAGAATGCATTGTCCACGCAGGTAATATTCTTTCGACTGTTGTTTCATACCCAATTTATTACCAGTTTGGTTATTGGAGAATACAAGTCAATGCATGTAGAAAGATAAAGACGGTAAAAAAGACGGGTTAAATCCGACCGTTGGAATATTATGAGATAAGATGAGAAGCATAAGATATGATTGTTTATGTAAAAGAGGGAAATAAGGAAAATTATCTTACCATATCAGAGATACAAATGAGTTAAATACAATATAGTATGTGGAATTTTCCATTAGATGGGATGTTTTGTCTGTGGACATCTACTGGGTTAGATATAAATGCACAATAAAATATGGTATAATGACATAATGTTGAAGCTAGCAGTGATTATTATAAGGCAGATGTGTATAGCAAGATAACATTTTCTGGCTTCCAGGCATTATGTTATAAGTATTCAAAGTTGAACAATGGCCAATGTATTTTCTAGATTTTCCTTTCCTCAATGGTAAATGAAGTACATTATAATATGATTATAAAGCTGATAAGATCATATTTAATTCTGTATTAATTGGAGAATTAGATGTTCAAGATCTAGTAAAGAGTATTTTTTATCATCTTATGGATGATTCTTGATGTTGATCCGAAAGGGACAAAACCAATTTGGGAAGACTACAAGTGAAATAATGTGACCACTCTCTTATTTAATCTTCACTAATCACCCATTAGGATTAATATAACATGTCTTGTCTGGTCTATCAATATGTCTATTATTAGTCCAATTTTAATATTTATAACTAATACTTGATTTTTGTACTACCAATTATATATTTATTATAACAATACTATATTATTTTATTTCATTGTTTATTATATGATGTTATTATATTTTATTATAATAATATTTTTATGCAAGCTAATGTATTAGTACAAAGCATTTGATATAATTACAATGATGTTTTATGATATCAATATTGTATATCTCACATCATCTTCAACCTTTTTGTTGTGCTCTTTCCAGTATGAAACACTCCCACCCTTGTACTGCGTCTCCCCTCTGTCGTGATCGAGAGAGAGAGAGAAGCAGCCGATCTTAATCCAATGAACACTATAAATATCTGTTAGCTTAGTGTGGATTAAAGCATACCAAGCAATTATACGAGTCAATGGACGCATAGTTTATGCGAAAAGGAGATTCACAGAAAAAGATGCCAGCAATGGATAAGATTAGACTTGGCTGATGCAGGATGGCGAAAGAAAAGACTGTAGCATCGGGTCTCAATCACAGCACTGGCTACGTTTTCCTGTCTTCAACCACCACCAAATCATTACTCATCTGCAGATGTCAGGCATCTGCCATGACGGACGATCTGAATCTGCCACATCAAGTCAAGTTCACACGCCTGTGGAGGCACAGCAACAGGGCAAGCCATCAGTGTCAGATTGCCAAGTTCCTGCAGATGGATGTGAACTCCCTTTGTCTGCAAGAATGACAAAGGCATCTCACAACAGCTCGACCTTGTCAGTATCATCTTTTGTTCTGAAGAAGCTCGAGTGACAGTTAAGTTGGATTCTTTCCTTGCTCATTGCTGATCAAATTTAGATGCTTTTCATATGGTAGATCGACTTTGGATGATGAATAGCAGTGTCGGAGTGGCCCATAAGTTGGTGAAAGAATGAGACGCTTTTTTGGATGTGTATAAATATTTCTACGAGAGGAAATGATCGGAGCAAATAATTCAAGTCTCGTTGGGTTCATAGAATTCTTGTAAGCAATATTTACATGACAGAGCATGTTTGCAGGCTGCAGGTGAAGAAGAAAGGAGGCTGTGGTGCGATGTTGATACTGGAACTGGGCATCTGGGTCATCCCCCTCACCCTCATTTTTGCGCCGTGCAGGCGACTCGTTCATCTGGTTGCAGAGCTTCAACGTGTTGGCGAGTCCATGATGGGCCCGCGAGCGGCGTCGCCGGCCATTTGGAGTCGCATGGAGAGGCTTAACTCGGTGGCCTTGATAATCTAGGGCTGCAGCTCTCAAGAACGGAAAGCATCATCATCCCTGTCAGGTGGGCATATCTTTTGTGAGGTGAGTATCTCGTGTTGTGTGTATGTGGAAGAGTGCTGTGTATGCTGTGAGAGATATATGGCCATGAATGGTTTTGATGTAGATCTTTTTCTTGGAATCAAGTAATTTTGGAAAGAAGAATACCTGTAGTTCTCTTCCATACTAGTTAAGAGTCCAGCACTCAAGAACACACCAAGGCAACTACTCCATGGAGCAAAATTTTCCTTCAATCTTAAGAGGAAGAGGAGACTGTTGGATCTCAAATGAAGGAAGAAAAATTGTAGGAAGAAGTAGCTGCTTTATCAGATCTTTCTTAAGCTTTTTGTCACCCGGAATCCTTGTAGTGAAGGATGCTAAAAAACACTGGCAAAAACTCTCTGTGCAAGAAGGTTTGGGGTCACAGATTCCCCATGGTTACTGTTTGTAGCTCTTGTAGCTCCAGGGTGACTTATTCGTTGTATTATTTAGATTCACATAGTTAGATGCCATCTAATCATGGAAAATTCTTTCATTTATGTTGATGTCTCTGTCATAAGCGAAGTTTCAGACTCGTGTAATAGGAAAAGCAGAATACGGCTGCAGCACTTTGCCAGGTTCTGGATATCTTATCTGTCAAAGCAATGGAGAAGAAGAAAGCTTGGAGCAGAAAACCTTCCTTTCAAATAGGTATCGAAGGAGCCATCCAAAATCCTGACCCCCAACACTTCATCATTGATGCCTTACTGTTAATCCACGAAGAAGAAGAATTGCGTCTCAGATGTGCAGTCTCAAGAAGAAAATTGTGATCCTTAATTCTTAGAGCTCGACATCAAATACATCAATTACAAAATGGACAGGAACCAAATATCTTATCAGAACTCAATCTTACCTGACCTAATGAGAAATATGATCCTTTGTTTCTGATATTGCTTAGTGTTGATCATTCAAAGACAGCATTCCATGGCACAACAAGATTCTCTCTCAACAGCTGCACATGGCTTCTTGTTCTTGTTCCAATCACTCTCTGCTCTCACAGTTGTGGGTCTGATGAAGCATGATTGACGGCAGATAACCGAATAGCCAGCAATAATAGCTGCACCGCTGTTGAGTGTCCGCAATCTTATCGCCTTGCTAACACGCCAAGCAAAGTGCATCATCATGTTACTTGGTGAATCCCACGACCCAAAGGGCATTGGAAGCCATGTACCGGAAGAACCCCACTTGAAAGCACCCTGTGAACAAGGTAGTCCCATGGCAAAACCTTTTGACAGTGATAAAAAAGAGATGATTGGAACAAGAACATGAGGTCTGCCAGCTATTTAAGACTTGCAAGCATCATCGAGATTGCTTGCTTGCTTGCAGGGGCCGAGTAACCAGCAAAGAGAAGAGCACCTCACAATGCTGATACTGGAACTGGGAATCTGGATCGTTCCCCTCACCCTCGTTCTCGCGCCGTGCAGACGATTAGTGCTGCTGGTTGCAAGGATTACACAGATTCATCAGTGCGTCGCGCGTTCACGGTCCAGGCCGCCGGCCTTCTGGAGCCGCTTGGCGAGGCTTCACTCTGCGACTTCCACACTGTAATGCCGCCTGCAACTTCCAAGCACGTCAGGTAGGAACACACGTCTCTGCCAGTCTGCTTCGCTTTGCTCCATGTGAAGTGGCAGAGTGTTCTTGACGTTGTGAGAACAATAGTTTGATGCTCAGTACACCGCTTTCCTCCATTTTACACAACAATGTCGAAGTAAACACCCTTGTACTTCTCATCGATCCTTGTCATGAAGATACTGCCATGTTTTATGCTGCATTCCTTCCCTGCAAATGTTGCTTCTGCATATCCAAAAGAGAAACACTAGTCTTCGAGGATTACTCATGTTCTTCATCCTGAGTTATAAGTAGCAAGGTAAAAGCATTATTAGCTTTCATCCATCCTAAATCTTCCTTGTACAAGAATATGGTCTATTCCCACCATTATTTTTCTCCCCTTTAGGGAGATCAGCAAATTAGATGAAGCATGTCAGTGCTGAAGCATATATGAATTTTGCAGAAATTATTTCTAATTTTGTTTGCTCACGTTATTTTTTGGGCTCAAGATTGGCCCATTTAAAGCCCAAAATAATTACTATGCAGTTGCAAATGTCGACTTTACCCGTCACGTGAAAAACACGTGTCATGAACGTCGTAAGATCCTCTCTCAGAAACCACCCCCTAATATTTGGCGTAATTTCGATTGTGCCATCAAAGATTCTTTTGAGGGACGGGGTCACGTGAGAGACGCATGCGCCGAGGTCGAAGGAGCCAATTCCCATCGGCCATTCGATCTCGTCATCATCTTTCCCTCTTCCATTACGATGGTGGAGAAAATAGAAAATATAGAAGACACGTGGCAGAGGTAGAAATCGATCGTGGGAGGCACAATGAATCATCATGTCGACGCCCAACACATTTCCGGAATTAAATCTCGCTTGCTCCAAAAATTGGATTCAATTTTATTATCTTGGGTTTTATTATTGGCCAAAAGTGGGATGTGAAGGAAAACACCCAATTAGAAGACGAGCCGAAATGATTGCGGCTGAGCCGGTGTCGCGGGGTGGGCCGACCACAACGCACGCACGGCCGAACCGGGTCGGCCCGGAAACCTCGCACTCCTGCCGCGTCCCTTCCCCCACCACGTGCCCAGGCCCATCATTGGCTGCTCCGCTGGACCCCACCCCACCCCCGTTCTGAGGTCGAACGGGAGAGCTTGCGATGACTAAATATTATGGCTTTGATTTGTAATCATGTCGCTGCCAAGGTTGGTGGTAGGACTCGATCATGATCGATGATGATTGGTATGATTGTGCTGGTGCAATGTTGGAGGGATGAATGGGGCACCGAGTGGTGTGGGGTTTTGCTGTTCCCGTCTCATCCACAGACTCTGATGATTGCGAAGCTAAAAGGGCATGATAAGACGCAGACTTGGAGAGTGTGTTCCATCATGAGAGTCTTCAGAGCTCATCCTGACACCACACAAACACTTTGCCTGCACTAGTAAATATTATCTACATACTTGAGTTATCAGTACGTACCGGTGCATGCCAGGGAGCAGCAGATGTATGGAGGGAGGAGGAAGAATGAAACAGTCAATGGTCAACCGGAGAAGAGCCCCTGGTTTACGGAACTCAGTGGCGCGTGGAAATGTCGAACGGAAGCAGCATCGAAACCAGCTTTTGGGGAGCAAAAGCAAATTGTGAACATGAAGAACAGGAGGATTTGGTAGTAGCGTTCATGATTGCGATGATTAGGGTGGTAAGGCACGGACTGCTATTTAATACCCGTTCCATACTCCGGAGAAGACAAGAGAAGAGGCCACTGCTTTTATCCAACCTTCTCTTTGTTCTCCATTTCCATCTGTTCCAGTCATCTGAAAGGAAGTCGGAGAAAGAGGGTCGAAGTGAAGGAAGCAAACAAAGACGAGGGAGAGAAGACGAGAGGAACCTAAGGAGGGATCAGGTGGTCAAGGATGTTGTTGGAGAAGGAGGATCTGGCGCTAAGCCTCAGCTTGAGCTCTTCCGCTAATCGCTTTGATCGTCTCGGCCTTGTGCCTTCTTCTTCTTCTTCCCCTTCGCGGTCGCTGCCGTCTTCTTGTCAGCAATGGAGCCGTCTCCTCCTCGCCCGTTCAGGTACTGTTTCCACCATACTGCTCATTGTTTGGTTGGCAGGTCCGAGGAACGACGACGTGATGTATGCTGAACACTGCAGAACGTGGCGGAGCAGGAGAGGCGCGACGTGGGTTGAGAACGATCGACGTGAACCAGCCGCCACCTGCGGGGGCTGCAGCAGGGAGGCCGGACAGCGAGGAGGCGGATGCGTCGTCTCCCAACAGCGGCGTCTCCAGTGTGGGCGGCAAGCGACCAGCGGAGCGCGAAGCAGAGCACGATGCTGAGCCATCCTGCTCCCGCGGGGCCAGCGACGAGGAGGAAGGCGACGGCGACGGCTCCCGCAAGAAGCTCCGCCTCTCCAAGGACCAGTCGGCCGTCCTCGAGGAAAGCTTCAAGGAGCACACCACCCTCAGCCCTGTACGCTTCTCTCTCCCTGGCCCTTAACAGAGCAGTAGCGGCGTATGTTCCATGAATGACCCTGATGTCTCTTTGGTGAGCAGAAGCAAAAGCTGGCGTTGGCCAAGCAGCTCAACCTGCGGCCAAGGCAGGTGGAAGTCTGGTTCCAAAACAGAAGGGCAAGGTACGCTCATCGTGCAATGGCAGGGACGCTTCAGGACGACGCTGAACAACATTGACGGGTTTGACCTGGTACAGGACAAAGCTGAAGCAGACGGAGGTGGACTGCGAGTTCCTCAAGAGGTGCTGCGAGAACCTCACGGAGGAGAACCGACGGCTGCAGAAGGAAGTCCAGGAGCTGAGAGCGCTGAAGCTGTCGCCCCAGCTCTACATGCAGATGACACCGCCCACCACGCTCACCATGTGCCCTTCCTGCGAGCGCGTCTCCAAACCCTCCTTCTCCACTACCTCGACGACGAACCCACCACCGTCAGAGGCCGCTGCACCGCGGTCGCTTCGTCCCCCGTTTCTCGATGCTCCTCCGCAGCGATAGCTGTTGCCCTTTCGTGTGGTGGGGATACTGTTTGGGTACTGTGATGCGTCACCCACGTAATGTAAACAGCACTACGATTGCACAGGAATGAGGTGGGTGGGGTTGACAAGGGCTCGATGGGTGACTGCAAAAGGAGACTACCAGCGGCTACTTGTTTTGTGACAAACTCAGATCAAACTTAGTTGAATCAACAAAATTACTCTTCTGCTTTGTTCTACCAACATGTTATTCGCTGTTCTATATTATATGATCAACAGATGAACTTCAATATTTCTTCTATTTCTCTGAACATTCAAATCTATTTCCTTTAAATTTATACAAAGGATTTGGCAATGAACAAAGCAAGTAATGGACTACATTTCTCAACATATTCTGTAGAAGTCAAGTGCATTGTTGTGTTGCCTTAGATTTCACTTCGGCAGAACTGACGACCATCATGATTCCAGTGAGGTAGGGACAGGGCGAGAGCTTGGTTTCCGGTCACCTTTTAGCTGCACCGTGCACATGGCGGTGCATTTGTTGCAGACCTAATGGAAGGCTTCGGATTCAGCATCATTCCATGTATCAATCTCAAGCCAACAACCATTTGATGCTTCTTCAACCTTCTGCCCACGATAAGTCCACATAAATTTAATGGAATTCTTGGAGCTGATCAATGCGGATGTGAAGGGCATCAATTTATCATCACTCAGATCAGATGATGACCAGTCAGATGAGAAAGAGACCTTTCTGTCATGTCGTCAAAGCTTTTCCTGGAAAAGATAAAGCGAAGGACACAACCACCAACCGCATGACAAACAGCAACACCACCTCCTACCACCTCCCAAACACCGACTAATAACACTCCTCTCTCTCTCTCTTTCGCTCTCTCTCTCTCTGAGATTTCGATCGCCGTCATTTTTGGCCGTCATAGCCGTAACCGTCGCCGTCAAATGGCGACGGGGTGGCTGAAGTCCCTGCACTGCAAGTCTAAAGCGGTGGAAGACGTGTACCCACTGGCGCCGTCAGCATCATCTTCTTCGTCTACTAAGAAGCCGCTGCTCTCTTCCGTCGTCTGCGGTAATACCTATCACGCCGTGGAGGACGTCGTCTTCCTTTTACTTAAACACCCGTCGTTCCGATCCACCGCCTCCTCCGTCCCCAAGAGACCCCGGCAAAGAACGAGGCCAAAGTCCAGGCACATACCAAGGCCAGCACGCCCGTGCGCTTCGGCGGCGTCGGCGTCGATGCCGGATGGGCTCGTAGGACCCGTCCATGCGGATCCCTTCCGGACTCTGGTGGAGCTGCCGATGGGCCACTCCTCGCGGCGGGTGGTGGAGATCATCTTCAGCTCGACCTGGTCCTCCTCGGGGGGAGGCGGAGGCGGCGCCGTCGCAGCGGAGATCGAGATGCTGTTCCGGGTCCACAACCCGGCCCGGACAGTGGCGCGGTTCGAGGAGCACCGGGCGACGGTCCGCGCCCGGGCCGCCCGCTCCAACGACGCGCGCTGCGCTGCCGACGGGAACGAGATGATGCGGTTCCAGTGCGGGGCCGCCGGGGGCTTGGTCTACGACGCCGGGGTGGCGCGCAGCGTAGTGTGGTCGGCGGGGATGAAGGTGGAGGGGGTCCGGACCTTCGCGGGCAGCGGCGGCGCGCACGCCAGCGGAGGCGGCGGGGCCGGGCGGAAGTCGATGCTGGTGTGCCGGGTCATCGCGGGCCGGGTCAGGGGCGAGTCGGACCACGAGGCGGAGGCCGAGTCGGTGAGCTTGGGGAACGGGGAGCTCGTGGTATTCGATCCCGGGGCGGTGCTCCCCTGCTTCCTAGTCATCTACAACCTATAAGTCTCCCTCCTCAGTACTCTCGCTCGTGGCACGCTCTGACTCGGCGTGCCAGCAGCTACCGTTAGACCATGTTTCGTGGTGTACAATTTTCTCTTTTTTATTTTCTTTTTATGTTTTGTCTGTTTGTTCTGAAGTGTGCGTTGAGTGTGACTCGTATAATTGTCTCGTGTTGTGAGTGACTTGTCGTCTTCTTCTTGTTGGTATATTTGTTTGGTGTGAAGCAGAACATTTCAACCTGAGTGAGCAAATGGCAGGAACACTGTTCTCGTCTTCCACAGGGGAGCAAAGGAATCCACCACAAAAGGAGGATCTCGTCTTGTTAGGGACAGTGTAGTTTCTAACTGACATCCGTTATTCAGTCTGCAACAGTCGTTGTCTCATGACTAATTACATATTATTTGTGTTATTAGACCTTTTCATCATCCTAATTCTTAGGTTTAAAAATTTTATATTAAAATTTTATAATTATAAAATAAAATATCTAATTTTATTTATCCTAACACGATCAAATTTTCTAACGAAAACATGATATATAATTTTAATATTTCAATTGATTATGATAGATGACATCGATGGTGATAGATGATATCGTCCAAGGCCACAGGTGGCTGTTATGGATGAGAAGATCAGTGACGAGAGATGAAGGTCGTTTTGCATTTGCGTTGACGCCGACATAATTGTTGAGCGACCTTTTCGTTGTTTTATATCTGCATCGATGTCGACGTAGTTACCAAGTAATAAAAGGGCTAGTAGGCATTTACATAGATATCGACATAGATATAGATCGATGAAAAAACTGCTTATTGTGTTGGTATTGACATAGTTGATGTGAGCGGTGCTACTATGTATCTACATCAAAGTTGACATAGATGCAAAATAACTCTAATTTCTCATCGTCATTTTTATAATCCATAATAATCATTCGCGACTCTTAGTGACATCGTATATGTAACCATCAATTAAAATATTAAAATTATCTTTTATCTATTATTTTTATATTTGTATTGATAAAAGTAGTGATATTAGTGATAAACGAATCTAGTTATTTCACTTTTATAACTATTAGGATAAACAAAATTGATTCCAATATAAATTTTTTAAATCTAAAAATTAAGATACTACGGAGGTCTAATTACAAAGATAATTTTTAAGTAGCCCCTCATTAGACTTGGTACCGGTATTATGTTATAAGCATCAAGATACTTAAAATTGCATTGCTCACTAATACTTTAGACCAACCTACTTTAAAGTTGATCGTAAATATAATTTGCAATGTATTTCAGATGGACCTGATTCAAAGCTGATTACAATGATGATAACGTACCATTACAATGAATTGACAAACAAATGAGAAGGCAAAACAAGATTGCGATGAATAAAATGGCAATTGCATTGAAGGTCGGATAACCAGACCCATTTTTGGAAGAACAGGCAGACTGCAAAATGAAATAACATGACACTTGAACTCAGAAAAATAAATAAATAAATGCAACGATAAAAAAAAAATCGATCGGCTATTGCTTATGCGATCGTACGGACCACTGTCGGCTACTTGTTTACTCCTTGACAATGCATATATAATATTTATATTGCAGTCATGTAATCTTCGGTTTGTAATGCAACGGACTTCTTCCATCTCACAAGGGATTTGAGAAATTCTAGTACCTGCAAGAGTGCAACATGTTGTATCAGCAAACCACCAAGTAAAATGAAAATAAATGACGTTAATAATAGAGACTTGAAACTATTGCAAACCTCGGATGGGTCACTCAGAGAGTAGAAAGCCTTGGTTTCTTTTGGCACGGTCGATACCAGGATACCAAATCCACAGTTACTCTCTCTCAAGACCTGAGATTATTCAAACTATTACAAAATATATTATAAGAGTTGGCATACTTTCGTCTAACAAGTTTCTTCCCAATATACCATGAATGCATCCTCATCAGTACGGTCATCTCCCACATAAATTGGGAGCACATCATCACGATGGCTAAGCCCAAGTGATTCAAGCAGAAACTCAACAGCTTTGCCCTTGTTCCAGTCAATTATGGGACGGACCTCTAGAACCTGTACCATGAACGCAAACAGCACAAGAGAGCCCAGCTTAAACAGAGAACGGTATACTTCAGTTAATGACTTAGCATACCAATAGGTTTAAGGCTTACCTTCCGCCCATGGTCAACTCGCAAACGTGGAAAGTCGTTTATGAAACCAAACACACGCTTTCCGACTTCTTCCCACATCTGAAATATAAATCACAAAAATAAATCTTTTTGGTTAGATATTGTAACCACACCCGTACAGAGAACTATCATGTTATCCCAAAAAAAATAATTATGGTGGTGCTCAACACTTTTAATTTAAATTTAGACCTTCTCATCAACATTGCGGTAATGTACAGAGACACAAAACTTGTTGTTCTCAACTTTGGCACCTACGATGTCTTTAGTGATATCGATGAGGGAGTCAAACACCTGCCATCAGAAAAAAAACAAAAAAAATCATTCAGGAGTATGTCGGATGACATGACTACTAGTAATCAAAGATGACAAACAGGGCGCCTACCTCATCGATCATCGGAAGAAACTCGCTAGCAGGCTGGAAAAGATGTACCTCTTTGCCCTGTTACCACACCGCGCATCAGCAAGGTAATGGCACAAAAATTAACGAGCTACAATTTGTTTCCTCAACTCACTAATCTTAGATACATCATTATCATTTGGTTGACATCAAAAACAAGATTTCAAATATGAACATGATTCCAAGATCTCAAAGAACATTTCTTGTTTGTTCATACCCAGCGAGGCAATAAAAATTCCTACTTCTTAAATTACTCGGTTAAGTAGAAAACTGATTCACAAAAGCACGAAAACAAAGTATCACAAGAAAGACAAATGTTATAAACTAGAGTTTCTTCCTACCTGCTCGTCAGTTGTCCTGATACAGTCTGGATGGTCATCAACAGACTGGGATTCTCTGATTGGGCCCATTATATCCATCCCATGACTGCCAGCATAATACAGTTCTGATAGCCTCACAAATTCGTTCACCTGAATAACATGTGTTTTTTTCAAGTACCGATCAGTATATGCATATACAATTATCTTAAACGTTCACATTAAAAATACACTAATGAAAAGACATACCTTGCCACGAGACCTTCCACTAATAATTGCAGTTGGAAAGTACTTAGCAACATCTTTTACGGCAGCTCGCATCTGAAACAAATTTAATAATTAAATTGAGAAAAATTGAACCCTAAACAGCGGGCAAGAAATTTACTGTTTACCATTACTTGTTTAGCGTAGTAAACAAGTTATTGGAAATGCTAAATCAACTTACAGCACTAGACATAAATGCATGGTCGGGGTTGTCCACGATAGGTGAAAGCGTTCCGTCGTAGTCCAAAAACAAGGCGATCTTCTTGTATTTAGCATAAGCGGTGATTTGGTGAAACGCTGTTAAAGCGGATGGATGGTTCATCTGAAGAAAGTGCAAGCAAATATGAAGTTATTAATGTTCTTAGTAAACACTAGACGATCCAAGCTTCAATAATTTCGATAAAAAAGAGCAACAGAAACTGACCATCCAGGTGCGGTATGCAGCATCGGTTTCATCCGATTGAGACTCAGATATGAAATCTTTGTTTAGCTTTTTGCGAGGAGGTGATGAGGCTTTCATGGCATCCAGCCAACTATTGGCACGGACATCATCAAGTTTACCAACTTTTCTTCTGGGAATCTGTAGAAACAAACCAGAAGACGAGTATGGTGCTGCTGCTGGGGAAAATGGAGTCATATTAGAGGGCAAGCCCAGTCTTGACTTGCTCAACGGTACAGGATCAGCAAGAACAGGGGAACTATGGTTTGACTTCAAATCCATAGATTCCAGGTCAATAAAATTATCTTCAGAAGTAGTATGATATCTGACAACCAGCACCCAAGTGATTAATCAGCCTCTGCTGCCCTCTATACAATTATCCGACCCTTTTGTCGATGAAAAACCACCTCTTCAATGTTTTCTTGTCACTTGAATTGTGCATGCAGTCCATCAAGCAGATGCCACCTGACAACTGAGAAATAATAAATCATCAGGTAAGGGAAAAAGAAGCAAAAACATAATACATCATACACTAACAATAAACATATATATTATTTACCTCCTCATTGCAAGAACAATACAGCATTTACTCGAGTCAGTCAAACATTATTTGTACGTTTAGAAGAATCACTTGTCTACCACTTCAACCAGCCGAACCTATGGCTGCAAAATTTGGGAAAGAGACCAAATTATGTAATGACCTCAAAGATAAATAATACAATGGAAATTTCTTGCGGGGAAAATGTATCGTGATGTTAGTGACAAAACAGTGACAAAGGTTTCATAATGTCAAGAAAACCAAATTGAAACCAATCACTGAATAATGACATTGCAACAGAAACTAGTGTCACAATGGTAACAAAGCTGAGTTCTACCATATCAAGAAAAGCAAATATGGTCCAATCGCAGAATAAAATGTAACAAACACCATGAAAAGGGATGGAACTCAACTTTCATCATGCATCATATCTGACACCTAAATGATGTCAAATTGGAAGCACCCACATTCCCATAAGGCTTTTGTATTTGTATGTGGGACTCCTTTGGTACTGACACTTTCTTACTCTTGTGTGCAATTGGCGAAGCTCGAACACTGAAACAACCATTTCCGCCCTGAATCAACACTCACGAAACAACCATATCATGTTTTTGCGTTTTTCTAGACACAATTTGGTTTTATATGCTAACTTGATTTAAACGGGTGATTAAATCTTGTTGATAATGTTGATGTTCTATAACTTTGCTTTTAGGTTAATTAAAATTACTCCACTTATATTAGGATAATAATATTTAAAGTTCTCTTAAGAACGAACAAAACATGGATGTCTTGCGACCACAAGAATAAACAGACCTAACAAATTTGGTGTAGGATGAGGACCATATCACTCGTACTGGTTTAGGTGCATTTATATTTACTTTTCTATGATCAATTTACTCCTTAGCGGAGAAGGAAAATGGACTCCGTCTTATTGCTAAATGCATAAACAATGGGCATCTGGAGAAACGCAGCAGAAGGTGCGCGAATAGATGGTGGTTTTCGGGGCAGCGCCCAGGTTTCTCGTGTGTTCGGCGATTTCTTCATCTGCAGCAAAGGCTACACGAACGATGGCAAATCGAATCCAAGAAAACAAAACTATGAAAAGCAATCCGCCATGATATCTAAAAACATGATGAAAATTGACCAAGAAATGGAAAATGCAACGATTAGCCATCAGATCTTCCGTCAAGAACATGATCAACACCGATAAGTAAAGGAACGATAAGCACACTAAATCTCCCTTCCCTTATTGACCTTTTCCTTACCGCAACACAAGGAAAATGATCACAGAGAACAGATAAACCCGTCGTGCAACAGGAAAATAAGACAGAGAAGGAAAAGGTGCATTCTTACTTCCAGAGAGGTCAAACCAAACGCGATCGGCCTCTAAGAACGACACCCGAAAGACGAGAAGGCAGAGGTTGTTGTGACTGGAGGGAGAGAGCGAAGGGAGAGAAGAGGCGAGAAGAGATCGGCGGCACTCGGAGGGGTCGTTTATATAGAGTTCCTCACTGCATAGGAATATGATACGGAGAGGGGGTCTCATGTACCATAAATTTTGATCTCGACCGTCCATCTGATTTGAATAAAATACGGACGGTCGAGATTAGACATTGCGGTACGTTGAACGGTTTTGATGGGACCTACGCAGATTTGCTTCGTGCTTGCGGAGACGGAGGGTGACGTGCTCCCCAAGCCAGCGGGCGGTTTCGGAAAATTATGTCATTATTATTACCACGTTGAACCCCCCGTGACAATAAGTGTATCCCGAGCTCCACCCACCCCGAAAGGGACCCGTCTTCTTCACCGACGCTGTCTTTGCCATCCTTTCCTGACATCTGGCTGTCCATCGAGGAGCACGGCTCAGCATTTCTATTCACGTTGGTTCGTCGTGTTACTGCGGGTCCCACTCGTCAAGTGAGCTCAGAACCGTGAACGCTGGCTGAGACAAGTACGGGTTTGGTGGTCCTGCGGTCTGGGTGAGAAAGTGGGTGTATCCAGAAGGGTAGGTCGTCGTCCACCGCACGGCCCGCGCACGCTGACCGCCGCGTGTAGCTGGGTCCCACATAAAGTTTATTCCCGCATCCAATCAACTTCGTGGGTACGTTTCCGTGGGAGCCAGCTAACCGAGCAGTCTTTACGCCAAACGGCCCATCTTTGACCGGCTATCTCACGTGCGGACGGCGACCAATCAGACCGAGGCCCGTCGTCCAGCTGTCGCAGCGGTCAAACCCCGGAAAAGTCATGCGGCTTAATCAATTCGCGTTGTAATTAAAGCGCTCCTCGCTAAAGTTGGACAGCACATTAGACTCACAAAGCTGGTTAACAATGTCAACGGACAGCAGCAACGTGGAAGTTTCGCATGGTACTTTATCCTCCATATATAAATGATTAGGTAGAGACCGATTGATCTATCGATTTGTGTGCATATTATACTTACGCAAGTCAAGCATAATTGTGAAATAGAATCCTAAAATGACGGGAGTCAAATACTCAGCAAAGGCTACAACGGTGGCATTGTCGTCAGCTCATGACGTAGTAATGGTACCGCGCCAAGAAATGTGCAATCGTGAACGGCGCCGGCGGGAGTTTCTTGCACGACATAAACGTCGGTGCCGCCCCACATGGAAGTTTTCTGAGAATTAAAGATGGAAATAAGATTGTGAGATAACGAGGCACAACCTAACAATGTTTTGCTGGTTGAAGTAAGCAACGTGATGTTTACCTTTAGAACCACTCCATGAATCGGCAGAGAGCTCGAGGTTTCTTCTAAGGAAATAGGAGCGCCATCCGTTGGATTACAGCGACGGGACGAAGCGGTGGATCCACCTTGGATCCCACGTGGGCGGCTTGTCGCGGACCGGGTCACGACAACGAGAGGGCGGCGCGTCGCTGTCTCGTACTCCACCTACGTGGCGCCGAGTGCGAGGCCCGGGCGCCTTCCCTTCCTTTCTGCTCCCGCCCACCAACACCCGACAACGACCGCCGAGCGCGCGCAGTGGTTTCCTTCGGAGGGCGGCGATCGACGTGGCGGTGACGCCGCCACCACCGACGTCTTGCGTTTTGAGTCGGAGCCAAGTCAAAAGGCGACCAACAACGTCAACTGGTTTCGCTGGGAAGACGAAACCGGTGAAGGAGCTCATAATGTGTATGTAGAAATGCCTCCGAGAAACTTTTTGTAGCACTGTCAACATATTCCATACATGTCGGGATGTTTTGGCTACACATTGATAATTACATGCATATTTAGCTTGTTTGGTGATCTAATTGCTAAGCTCTCACGGTCATGGCCGACTCACATGGGGGGAGTTATACAGAACATGGAAACAGATAGCAAGTGCATATGTTTAGGTCAGTGTCTGAATCAATCAGGTAATATATAGTTCAATAGACTGATGGTTACACATGATATGATAAGACATTAGCAATGAACATTAAGACATTTCTGGGCCTGCACAGCAGGATGATTGTCATGGTTTTGGACTCCAACTCAAACACTTTGTGAGGAGGCACCAAGTTAGATGCATAAGGAACTTATCACTCTTCAATAGAGCTTGTCCAGTCCACTCACATGCATAGCAATCTTTACATTTGTTTCTGGCCTGCTTGTCGGCCACATTGCATTGAGAATTCTGGGCAAGACATGGCATGTTGGCAATTTCATGATAACATATACCATGTAAATTGCTTGTAAGACTCTGCTCTCTCAGCTTCTTGAAACAAAAGAGATCCATGATTTTCCTTATCCAAATCTCAGCATCTAAGGTTCTGAAATCGATACAACAACAATCACCTGCAAATGTCTTCCTGAAACATGTCATTGTCATTTCCCATTGCTTATCATAGCATTCAAGCACCTCAAACAATGCAGCTAAGTCAGTATGTCCTCTCTTTTTCTTCTACAGAAATCCTAGCATATCATTGTCCCTCACTACATTTGTCCAAATCTAACTTGCAATAGCAGAGTTATACTGGTCTTAATTGCTACTGCCATGTGGTTAATATGAAAGACTGGAAATGAGAAGGGCTATTGTGCACACTCTTAGTCATAATGGGATATATATGTATCATAATATCAGGGATCAGCACCAACTGAAACCAGAGGTGATAATATTTGACGCATTTGAAGAAATAGCATGATGAAAAAGGATACAGAGTACTTCATATATTAGCTGAAACCAAGAACATGAGCAAGTTCCACAAAGAGGAAAAGCCCACCGCAACTTATACATGATGAAAGTACTTAATGCATTGCTGTTACCCACTCCTTAAAGCATCTAATATGCATAACAAAAGACATCCATAACAATTGATGAAAGTAATCTATGAATTTTGCTTGGATGAACTCCCTCAGTGCCTAAATTGATACACCCAAACAAGAACAAGAACAACTATATATATACATCAGAAGCAAATGAAGAATTCGTTGATTTGTTATTGCTGAATTTATTTCATGGAATAAACTTCAGAGTTAGTGCCTCATCGATAGATAGTTTTGCATCTTCTTACAGTTCAATATAATTGGTTGCTTGCATCTTTCTGCTGGAATTTTTTTGTTGGACATGTATGGTTAATCATTAATAATTATTTCTGTGTTCCTTATGAGCATGTTGCATCTGCACGTTCTCTAAGTAACTTCCACAAACAAAGCTTTCATGATTATTTCTTCAATGTCTTTCTTTTATATCTCCTCACACTCACAATATTAATTGATTATTTTTATGTCATTAGCATATCTGTTGGTCACGCAAATTTACTTGCAAGGGGATGATGAGTATACTATAATTAGTATATGTTTAAGCATTGTATGTCATATAGTTGTGGATAAATGGTATTAGTGCTGAGGTAATATTGATTACGGTGAGCGATTAGAATAAGAAAAAGTTACTGATATATGGGGTTTGAGGTACATTACTTGAAAGTCACTTCTAGACAGGATCTCATGTGTATCGTCCTAAAGTTTGATTATCGAATATGTTGATCTTTGATTAGGCTCTTAAGTGAAAGAGATTCTATTATCTCCAAATTTTGTCTCTCATTGAAAATGAATAGAGATTTGACTGACTTGTAAAATATTGATGAATATACTATCACTAATTTGGGCTAAGTCATTTTGAATGAGTGATTTAGGATCAATAAAGTAACTTTTATTTAGATTAAGTTGTTTTCTCTAGTAATACCTTCTAGTGATTTCATCAAAGGCTTAAAACAAACACTTGTTTCTATGCTATGATCTTTTTACACAGTTTGCGCACACTTGTTTAGAAGTATGATAGAAGCTATATGCAAAAAAAAGAAAAAAACTCTGTTGAAATTATTAAGCTTGAACTAATTTCTTTTTTTTATTCTTTTTTTCTTTTGGTGTGAGGAATGGAAGTTGACTTCTTTTTTTCTTTTGGTGTGAGGAATGTATGTATGTATGTATGTATTTATTTGTTCATCACAGTGTATGTTGGACTAATCTCATCTTTTTTGCCTTATGTTCTCTAAAACTGCTAATAAAACACAATCTTGCATCACAGAGACGAGTTTCTGAGGAGCATCAAAGATTCAAGAGAGCATGATGACCTCTGTTTGGAGCATAAACTTGATCTGACAGAGGCACTTTGAGGTCTCCAGTTTGCTCTGAAAGAAGTACTTAAATCATGTCATATACTCAAAGAACACAAAGATATATTAGGAGATAAAAGGTATTGGAATAAGAAACTTCCACTACCACAAAATATTGTGCTTCATCACATGATGCAACTATTTAATCCTCTTCCTTGGTAAAGAAGCCCAAAATTTTCTCATTGATGGTAGGGAGAGGAGAGAAGTCACTCTCTAACATAAATTCACCAACTCCTCACACTAGCTTTTGACTAATAAATCTCATTGTCAATCTTAACAAGTCATTCATTAAATAAGTAAACATGTGGGCTCTTTTTAATGTTGGAAGAGTAGTTAGTAGGAAGAGTATTTTGATACAAGTCAAACATATGGTGATGCCAGCAAAAAAATACATGTTTATATGCATCACTTGTCCTCTATTGCTATTGTTGGATTATCATATGACATATATAATTGCGTGTTGGGACATCACCATCAGATCTTAGACTGATTGGTCAGTGCATATTTCCATGCTTAAAATGAAATATGTGCTAGAAAGATGAGAAGATCACTGTGGCAAGATGATGAAGGATCCTGGACAATAGTACTCTGTAGAGCCCAAATGACAACAACTGCTTGCTCACCTTCCCTTGTTGTTTAGCTTCTTACTGTAATGTGATTGAGTTATTTATGGTCCTAAATTGATGTGGAATCTTCAATGTGGTCTCACATTGTCTCTTCTCTCCTGCTCATTGCTGTGTTCAGGACAATTAATGGTTCATCGGATGAGACAACTTCATAATTCAATAATTCCCTCATTTAATGTTTTTTGGTGTAGAGAGGTTTCTTGTGTGGCTTCTTCCCATAATTCATGTGCCAATTTGACATGTTTATATATGTTTATGTCAATGGGTGTCTCTCCATGTGCCAGTATCACATACAGTCAACAAGTAATGATGCTATGGAAGCTAGAGAGATTAGGGTTTGAGAGACAAAGCCTCATGGCCACTTGAAGTGTTGGTTCACTAGAAATTAGAGGATAATTGTTCCCAATCATGCAAGTTGGTGCTGCTAAACCTCAATTGGTGGGAATTAGAGTTGATGATGTTGAGCTTACTAGTAATTGGCATCCATGTCTCACTACTGAAGGATGATAGATAGGAAACATGCATCATTAGATGATATATGTTTCTGTATTGATCTTACATGGAAATCCAAAGAGGGTCAAAATGGCACATGGAACACATCAAGTTCACATGAACTCCTCCTTTGGTTTTTCTTGGCCTCTCTAATGGAACATAGCAGAGAGTAAATGTGGAGTCAATGGTAGTAGGTCACTCATCCACCCTCTCTCTAGTATTGTGGGGTTTTTGGCTCATCACATTACTATTTATGCGACCACTTTGCATTGCCCCTCTCCTCCACAAAGACCTTTGGAGTCTCCATCCATGAAAGAGCTACTCAGGCAAGAATGTGAAGCTATCACCTTCTCTTCCTCTTTCTCCACCATTACCTCCTGCTCCTCCTCTTCCTCCTTGTCCTCCATGGCCTCCTCCTGTTGTCCCAGTGCCTCACCAGAATTACTCGGCCACAGTTCAAGGAACATGAAAAAGAAGAAGAAGACGGCCTCTAAGGGTGGATCCAAGAGACAGGCTGAGGCTGCTCCTTGTGGTGTTGGTGGAGGAGGAGGAGGAGGAGGTAAGAAGCGAAGCAAGGATGGGAAGCATCCCGTCTACCGCGGCGTCCGGATGCGGAATTGGGGCAAGTGGGTGTCGGAGATCCGAGAGCCCAGGAAGAAGTCGAGGATATGGCTAGGGACGTTCCCCACCGCCGAGATGGCGGCACGAGCCCACGACGTGGCGGCGCTGACCATCAAGGGCCAGTCTGCCCACCTCAACTTCCCGGAGCTGGCAGCCGTGCTACCGCGGCCGGCCACGGCGGCCCCCAAGGACATCCAGGCTGCGGCGGCGCTGGCCGCCGCATGCCCGGGCCAGGCCGAGCAGCCGGTTTCCCACTCCCTCACGACGCCGTCGAGCGACGGCGAAGACGCGCTCTTTGACCTGCCGGATCTCTTCCTCGACCTCAGAGACGCATTCTGCCACTCTTCTCCTCCTCCTTCCTCGTGGCTGCCTTCTACCGAGGAAGACGGCATCGTGTTCCGGGTGGAGGAGCCATTCCTGTGGGAGTAGTATAATTAGAACCCATGGTCTGCAACAGCCATGCATGCACGCACGTATCCGTTCTTCTACATCTAATCGCGGGAGCGACGGATCATCATCAGCTCCCTCCTCAACTGGAACCGGAAATGGAGGTCAAATCTTTTGCCTCTAATGGCGTGGTTACTCATGCTCGAACCAACAACAACAACAGCAGCTCCACTTCTCCCATACTCGATAACGAGGCTAAAAGAAGCTTGTTCAGTACACATGTAACTACTGTAGCTGACAAGTGTGTTTGTGATAGCATGTATGAGGTATGTGTATGTGTATTGTGACTCGCCACAGACTCCCTTTTGCTGAATTGGAGACCCATTTACCTTCGATCATGTGCTTACTCCGAGTTAACAAAGTGACAAAAGCAAAGCAGGGCACTAATTCTCCTCATTCAAGGAAAACTCTTATCAGGAGAATCCAGGTTTATATCTTAATAAAAGTCCTCCAAATGGAGAAGGATGATGATGAAGGATTCCTCAAACCTAAAGTTAAAAGGCCAAGGGAGGAGAAGGTGGTAGAACTTGAAATGGTCTCAAGAAATCAGTGATGCTGACATCAAAATCACCTCGACAACTCTCTCTCTCTTTCTCTCTCTCAATCATTTTGGCTTTAGTTCAATCATTCTTTCAGCAGCAAGGTGAAAACCTCCAATGAGGCAGTAACTGCTCTTCTGCCCCAAAGGGAACTTGCAGTACACCTGGAGTACCACAACAACAGCCTACCATTTGGACTGCTACAAATAGAGAGGAGTTCCTGCCTCATCCTTCCTTCCTCTATCTAACCCCACAACCACCGTATGGAGGTCACGAGACAGAAAGCAACAGCGATGGAGCAATCCGCTGCCACTGACATCGCAACTCCTCGTTTGCAATCTTGCAAACGTGATCCAGATGACAAGATGGATCAAATGGTGCGAGAAGGCTCTGCAGCGACTTCTCGTGTGTTGTAAATGAGTTCAACTCCCATGCGTGACAAATATCACAGGAATGGCGTGCAAGAAAGGAGAGGAAGAGATATATGAGAGAGCTGCACCTGTTTTCCGAACCAACCATGATGAGTGATGCATAGCGACAGATGATGACAAAAGCTGGAGACGCATTATTGTGATGGAACGCTGAAAGGGGAACTGCACCAGAAGTCTACCTACATGGCCGCAACATTACGTAGTTCAGTAGCCTATTGCTAACAGAAGCAATTAAGGGCCGAACACGGAGTTCATGGTGGAGCATAGCGTATCAGATACCTTTGGAACAATGAGGCGGCCTCTGCAGTGGCATTGCAACAGTGAATTCCTATTGGCACAGGAAGGAACCATAAAAATTATTCACATTGTGACAAACAAATATCTGAATAGACAAAAAGTATTGGACATATTATGTGTGTCGTACTAGAGTTTTGACCTTAAGTAATTAAGATTACAATACTCCATTGCACATCATGGGAAAAGAATTGATTTGACAGACTAGATAGAACTTTCTGCTATTGAATTAGACATATATTTTTAATTATTAATCTAGGCTCCACTTATTAATGAGTCATTTATTCTATTAGGTAGGATGCACCTAACATGAGTTTGTAGCCTACAAATGCTATTATGCAAAATAATTATATTAGATCATCGTCTTTGAAGTTAGACTATTGTCACGTACAAAGTTCTAAACTGGATGTTTGATGTAATACTTATGTATTTCCATGTTTTTTGGTTGCACAATATATAGAAGGACAATCGAAAGCTTAATAATCCCATTTTAATTAGGTTTGGTGGCTGCTTTAGGCTTGTAAATAAAGATTGTATCACGTGGACACTTTTGAGATATTTTCAATCTGTAGTGGATCATTTTGACCATTTGTTGTACAACTGTTCAGAGCTTGTAAAGTCTGTTTATAATTTTCATTGTCTATGAAGTGTTTTCGAAAATGTTTGCTTGTGGATCCCAACTGAAACGTTTTCTTTAATCTATTTTCTCTTTTGTGGGTCCTAAGGGATCATGAGAGACTTCGGAAAGATTGACATTTGCGGATGAACACGCAAGAGTGTCGCACGACTTAGGTAAAACCAGCTAAGTCCATAACACTATGTACATTGATCATCCACGCCGAGAGATTTTAATCAAAACAAATTTTTTTCATAGGACAATGACAAAGACAAGATTCAATCCCAAGATCCTAAGCTAGTAGATATTTTCTAAATTTATAAAAAGAATAGTGTAAACTTTTATGTTCTGTGAAATATAATATATTGTCCATTCTGAATTATTTTATGTTCTATTCTGCCTTATGGATCTCATAAAGGGCTCCTTAGTCACTGCCAACAGTAGTACCGTGTACAATGTTTGTACTGTTTGATATAACAGTTTGTATGGTAAAAGGCAAGTTTTTGTTCCCAAAATTGTTGTAGTACTGCAATGTTTGTGGCAATGAACAGACAATGAGACAAAGGATGCAAACTTTTTTGCTTGACTTAGACCTAACAATTGTCCCTAAGAAAGCTGGACAAGTCGAGCACAAGCAAGCCACAAAGTCACACACAGAACGTTTTGATTCTTTTATTGTGCAGGAAGGAATGGAAGAACAGTTTACAGTCAGCAACAGTTGCTAATATTTATTTCTAGCTTCTTAAAGATCATTAAATTTCATATTTATATGCATCACTTCTACATTGCTAGATAAGAAATAAGAGTAATTTTGGTAAGGATCTCAATTAGGTCAATAGAAATCTCGAAAACTTAAGTTGTCACAAAAATGACCTAATATATATCAAATGCAAACATATTAATTAACATTAGACGAAACAACAAACAAAATAGAAAAAGACATATATATGATTTTAACTCACAATCTACTCCAAATACCATGATAAAAGTTTTATTTAGATTACTAAAAATCTAAAAGCTTAAATAGTTAAGAAAAAACTTTACACAATGTATAAACTCTACTCGTAAGAAAGTCTTTTACTTAGATTTTGTGAGATTGTCAACGAGAGAAAGAATAGTACTACTTACCAAGATTCATCGTACCATAGCACGTCACGTCATTCAGCACGAACGGTATATATCGATCCTATAATGGATTGATATAGATAATATATCGGTATATCCTCATGTATCATGAGGATATACTAGGTATAACCCAATACATATTATATCGATAACTAACCAATATATCGATATAGATTGGTAAAATGAATCATTCTAACCAGTAGATTATTTTTATGTTTTTATTTATGATGAAGGTGTTGAATTGTCCTACTAATCACAAGGGAAAAGGTGATGGAACACTCACAGAGTGGGGGCGCCTCGCCATTTAAAGGACGGCAGAGGACCGGTGAAGGATGATTTGTCCACCAACGCATAGACGAGACTGCAGGAATAAAGCTAATGTTGAGAAGAAAAGAAAGACCAGTGAGTAAAAGCTAATCACGGAAATGCTGGTGACTTCTCAGGAAAAACCATTAGAGTGTTCCTGTCAAAGTACATACTGAAAAGACAGAAAAAGGCCTACATAAAGTGAACCAGTAGGCGTAAATTGACATAATGAATCAGTATCAAGCAACATAAAAGACTGCATTCCTCGAATCAATCAAGCAACAAAGATAATAAAAAAAGAATTAACAGATACAAGTCAACAGATTTCCATGAATAAATTTTCTTTTCCACTTATCAAAATAGATCAAAAGGTAAATATTATCAAGAACAATTCTTCCCAAACTACAACTTTCTTGTTTATTATTTATTTAAAATCCTAACGATCTCATCACTTGTCATGTGGGTAGGAACGACGCTACACTGTGCTGCTAGACTAACCATGTCAAGGTAAACGAGAACAGGGCAGCACTTTAACTAAACTGGCGTATCGAAAACAACAAAAGGTGCTGTAAGAGAGAAGAGGAAGAATCCGACCAAACAGCGAGGAAAAAAAGGTAAATGTAAACAGGGCGAGATTCCGCAGAGGGTGTAAGAACACCCACAAGCGCATGCTCTGCAAGCAGCAGTCATCATTGTCGTCATTCACGGTTTATGATTCGACATGCTGCAGTCGAGCTTCACATGTTCATTCCTTTGCACGGTGCACAAAGTTTATTGGAAGGTCAATATGTGTGATCGTGTTCTTACCAGCAACCATCTTCTTTCTTTTTCTCTGTCATATCTTCTTTGAGAGATAAGAAGGATCAACTTACTTAAACCATACCTGACAAGCCGCTAAACAGTACATGCTGCCGGATGCATGAACAGTCCGTAGGCCGACGGGATCTGATCATGCGATGTTGCTTGTTTGTTCTCCAAGTCATGTGTGTCAACAGTAGTAAGCATAGACTGTCACCATAGCAAGAGAGCGGTTGTTGGTGGTCCTTTGTTTGGAGGTGAACAGTGCAGCTTCAATGGTCCAACCCGGGGGACAAAAATGAGGCCTTTGGTGTGACCACGTTATTGTCTTGTTCCTATGGATTCCAATCGCTTTTACTGACATCAAAGGGGAGGTAGAATGTGAGCTTTGTCTCGTGGTTAGAACCAGGACGACGGCCACTAATCTGGCCCCAAAAAATCGCCTTTGTCTCGTGGTTAGAATGTGAGGTAGAATGGCCTTTGTGTCACAGCTTCGTCCCAAAAGATCCCTCCTGATGACAAACATCAAGACCATCATGTTAAAGCACAATGATCGAATCTTAAGACCTTAACCTCATTATCAATGATCAAGATCCTTACCAACTAAATTATATGATATAAAAAGTTTTGGGATCTCAATCTTTGATAAATAGATCTGATCAAACTAATATTTTAGATGTACAAAAAATTAATTTATTAGATGATCGTGGATTCTTTTTGGAATGCTCTAAGAAAAGAATGGAGACAAGTATGGAACATCTCTACCTGTTGTGATGGCCACAGCTGCACTCATCTTTTATTCTCCAAGCATGAAGACATGCATGCTGGTGTTCCTTCATATTTTCATCGGGACAACGTTGTCAGCACCCACTTGACTGCTGCCATATTGCGACTGTGATAAGGCGATCACCATTACTCGTACTCTAAAAAATTGTCTTGCGACATCACCCTACAAGACCATACAAACAATGCGCCAAAAAAGTAGTGTTAGGTGACATCTTAATTCCAACATATTAACCATGAACAGCTATATATAATAGCACAAAAGAATTCTTCTGTTTCACATCAATTCTAAACAATTCACATGCAGAACATGCTACCAAAGAATGCATCATTTTCCAATGCTGTGCTTTTACTTATCTTATTCAAGATCACTTGAACCACCATAGCGGTGTAACCAGAAAGGATCATCATCCTATCAGCTGAAAGAGATAATCCATCGAGTACACAAGAAATGCTACTGTATTGATGCAACAGTAAAAAAGCATGTAAAATAATTGAACCTGTGCCATAATTTCAGTCATGAAACAAATGCAATGCTGCAGACCAGAAGAATCCACAGTGAGCAACCTGAAAATATCTTTCAAGTTACTACAAATTGGCTTCAGATTTATTTAGCACAACCTAGTGCAAGGCAAATACTGGCCCTCGTGCAGATTTCTCCACACCCCAGAATAGAACAAGCAGAATTCAATACCTTGCTGTGGAGTGGCACAACCTCTGCCCATGAAATCCCAAGATATGCTACCAAAACTAAGCTTCAAGGCACCGGCATGGTTTTGCAGCAACATAACCTACCTGCATCTATCACATTGGACTTGGTTTCCATTTGCAACACAAACAACAAAAACCAGGATCATGTGTAGAGATTGGTTCCACATCATTAGGTCCAAACTGGCACCACAAGTTAGGCACTTAAGCTGATGGCTTTCAGGTGGTCCTCCAAATAGACTGATGACAGAACAAATGGTTTTTCCATTCATGCTACATCCACAAAGAGAAACTACATTTAAACAATGTGTTAGTCCCATTAATGTTGTTGCTGTTGCAAACATGTTATGAAATTACGAGCACTAAAACACAACTGTGAATGATCAGTTGAGCTTTACCTGTTGCAGTTCCAAAATAGAGAGGATGTGTTTTTCCAACTTTGCTTGTAGGGTTCAACTTCATCTGTTGGTTCCAAATTTTACCAAGGCATGGTAAAACTGTAAGTTCTCTCACAATATAAGAACTACAATGAACACAATCAGACACATGAATAGCCTAAGTATGACATTTGAAACCTTACATCACATAGGAATTGACAGCACCGGCAGAACCATAGCTAATACATAATAGTAGCAAAACAAACACCTTGATGCCTCATTTTCGAGTCAGCCAAAATTGTATTGTATGAGTTGAAACATGAATCATCAAGTACCAATATTACAGACACCTTCAAGAAAATGTTGTCAAGGAGTTGCTAACATTACTGCTGATCCACCAAGGTAATGCACACATACCAAGAAACAATACAGTTGCCAACAGCTCTGCAAATGTGAAAGTTGCAAGTACTAAACAGAACAAATTCTAACACCTCACATAGAGAGTTTCAGCATCTATTTTTATCAGTTCCATGTCCATCAACATAAATCTTAATATAGGTAGTTGTTCATGGCGCAAAGCTTCTTCTATATAAAACACATCATAAATAATTTACATAGCAGAACTTGAAAATATCAGCTCGTATTGCTCTCTGGATGGATGCCGATAATAGTACCTGCATATGAACTTATCAGGATGATGGAAAAGAAGCAAAGGGTAAGTTCATGGAATCAATAAGCAGATATCAGATGAAAGTGGAAGAAATGCATAATATCAATTAGCAAATGGCATTAATTGAAGTTATAGTGCCTTACACATATATAGCGATGCCATGTATTGATGCATATTTCCGTAGGAGGCGTTCCACTGTGTACCACTCTGAGCGTTGTGATCCATCTTGGTAGCCAATCCGTGGCATATGAATGGAAGCTTAAAGATTAATAAAACAGCACAAAACAGTTTAATCATTATCTGGTGCAAACCCATAATTTTACATCATCAAGAAGAAATCATGAAAATGTGAATCTAGAATTTCAATGCTGAGAAGCTTCTCAAACAAGATAGGGATGTGAACTCTTAATCAAAGTGGATAACAAAAGCAAAATAATCACAAATTGTTCTGGTTATTATCCCTCAAGTTCACAGTGGAAAATATATCACAGATTTATTAGTGAACTATGAAATACAAACAAAAAGAATGGATTCCATTAATTCACATATATGGAGAATTGGAGAATCTGGCTCCCATGAATTCACCAATATGAAAGATGTATTTTTGTTTACATTCAACAGATTCCAAGGCCTAGAAAAATAACAAATGTTCATAAAGGAACAACGTTAGAACTTAGGTGCCAGAAAACTTGAGAAAAAGAGAGAGAGAGAGAGAGAGAGAGAGAGAGAGAGAGAGAGTTGTGTTATTCTTAGCATGGTTCGTTTTATCGATCCGTATAGGTGTACCAACCAACCATTGATATGATATGTATCGATATACTGACACATGGTATGGTGGAGTGTACCGATAGATTGGTATGTACCACCCATACTGATGAAACTCATCTAGGTGTCTTTCCTCACCTATCTCCCTTCCTGGTTCTATGTTTGAGGATCCATTATTATTGACTCACCACAGTGATCTACGTCAACATTTGCTACTCCTTAACCCGCAAAGGTTATGTAAAGGGTTGCTCGCTCATCCACCCCCTGGGTCCTTTTCTCCCTCATCCACCTCCAAGGTGCTTATTAAAAACACATTTTATAATAGCAGAGCTGGCACTTGAGTCCTCCATCACTTGTGTCTAACCACAAAACATTTGTAGTATCAGCTTTTTAGGATCTCATTTGTAGTAACCAATCCCAGTTCATTTATGTACTATCAAGAATATGGATATCTGCAATAAGCTCAAAGTAACTAAATCACTAGCTAGTTCCTCCATTCAATAGTATTCCAATTCGGAGAACACCATAAACCAGAATGAAAGAGGTAGTTTAACATTATAAAGCATTTGCTATATGCACCATTTCAAATAACCCACTGAACTTTTATATAATTCCAGCCTAATTCTGCAACCAACTACCCGAAGAAGATTAATTTTGATGATTTAGGATATTTCTGTGAAGAAACATACTGCTATTGAATAGAAAATTGATTAACTGCATTGGAGACTGAAAAGAAATGGTGATTGGGAGTTAAATTATATAGAATAATTTGCATAATTTGGAAACTACAAGAAAAATTTTGAGTTGGTCACAAACTTCAATTTGTAGCAATTAATAGCTCAATTTTTAGAAAACGTTAAATTAGTTGTAGTGTTATTTTCTTGATGAAAAAGGCAGGAAAGCTGATTTGTAAAAACCAAATTTATAAAGAACATGATGAGAAGAAAAATGGAGGAAGAGGATGCATCAATCCTTTTCTCTTAGTTTCTTAGTTTCTCAGCCTTTTTAGTGATGCCACTGTTGGTGAGTGTATAATTATATTACTGACAAATGAAGAATATGACCAAGACTTGAAATGTTAAATTTCAAAAAATTACCAGAATTTTGAGCAGCTGCGAAGGATGCCTTCGACAAACATTGTTCCAGATCAACCATAGAGATATTACTTCTTGGAATTTTACGTCGAGGATTATATGATTGCACAACAGCAAGTGCAACCCATAGAGGAGAATTTTGTACAATGCTTTCATCACCACAGGAAACTGAAGTATGTCATATATTGGCATTATTTATGTAGATATAGACATGTATATAAAGAATGAATAATCATAGTTACACAACAGTGTTGCTGCAAGGAAAGATTTCATTTGAGCATTTATTTCAAGATAAAGAAAAGTAAACATGAAATACAAAATGTACTATCAATTATATTATACAATCCTCACGCTAAATGTTGTTTTGCTATGTACAAAGCATCTTCTTCTATTTTCTTGGTGCAGATCATGATTTGAAACCTTATAAGAACTTGATAATCACTTGTCCAGTAATAACTTTCTCACTCAGTAATCCTTTTACACAAAACTTAGTAGTAGTTGTTAAGCTAAATCTTTGGTGACCCCAAAGAGTAACATGCTTTTTAACTAATTCACAATCCTGTCAACAACTTATTAATTTAGTAGGACAGCAACCCAGATGGTATGAGACCTCAAAATTATGCAGTTGGGGTTCAAAGTTTAATTCCTGCTATCACACACGCGCACACACACACACACACACACACACATATATATATATATGTATATATATGTATATATATGTATATATATATATATATGTATATATACACATACATACATACATACACATACATACATACATACATACATACATACATACATACATATATATATATATATATAT